CTGAAAGCTGGTTTCAAGCTACACAACTTTGCTTCAGAACACATCTCAAAAAAAGCTTTCATTGAGCAGAAAAATGTAAAACTTAGACATCACTGAAAAAAAAAAGTCCATTTTCGGTAATTTCGTAACGGTCGTTATTTTTTTAATAACTCCCTATGAGATGATCCAAACTCAACGAAATTTTCGGACGTGATAAAACGCGGTACTGTCTACCTCTGGTAAAAGCGTCATTACATTTGGATCATTCTCAGAAAAGTTATGGCACGTGAAAGTTGAAAAAAAGTAATTCCGTAACATTTGGACAAGCCGATATGTTGTTGTACAAAACCATATAAATCATAATTTAATTTATTAAATTTATCATTAAAGAATGAAAAACTATAAAATAACCTTTTTTTTAACCAGCTGTAGCCAATTTTCTTGTATACGATCGAATGGATAATCGAAGACGTTCATCACTTTTAAATAAAATTATATTTCAGAAAAAAATCAGACATAATTACAACAAATAACATCTTGATTTCGCAGAGATATATCTGTAAAAAATAAAAAGCAAAATGAAGCAAACATAAAAAGTTTAGCAATTATTTACACAAAAAAAACAGAAATTTTCATAAAAATAAATCACAGAGAAAAAGTTGAATACTGCAAATGTTCTTTGTCTTAATTGTTAAAAAACATAGTAATACCTCATTACCATCATCATTATTATCTAACTTTTCTTTGCTTTCACTGATCTTCCTGAACGAGTTTGACCTGGAGCTGATCGTTTTGTACCATAAGGTGGATTTGCTTTTACTTCATCATTTGAATTTGTCTCATCTAAACAAGCAAGATATATAGGACTTTTCTCGGTTTTTTTTCATCAAAGAAAGAAAGCTCAACAAGATGCTTGTAATTTTTCAACTTACTTTCAACAACACACAGTGATTCACTTGTACCTATTCTGAAATAAGAAATAAAAGTGCATAGTAATTTTGCAAAAAAGAATTGTATATTTTAAACATACTTTTCATCTTCGATCAGTTTTATTTTTGTTTCATACTGAAATAGAAAAAAAAGAGACGTAAGAAAAAAGTAATAGTTTCAACTTTTATTATAATCTACGTCATTAATTCGTTTTCGTAATTCTTCATTATCCAATTGTAGTTGTTCATTAATATTCAATAGTTTATCTTGATCTAATTTTCGTTGTTTATTTTCACATTTTAATTCAACATTTTCATTACACAATTTTTCAACTTCTCTTTGTAGTCTTTCATTTTGATCTTTTACCATATTATATAATTCAAAATAAGTCGATGGACGAACAGTATATTTAAATATTAATTGATCATTTACTAAGTAACCATCAGCAGCTAATTTATCCAATGGGTAAAACCGAAAAAATAGTCAAAAAGATTGTAAAATCATTAGTTTAAACGTAATACAAATCATATATTCACTTACTGAGGCCAACCAGTCGGAACACCATTTTTAAGTAAACCTCCAAAATCTTCTATAATATAATCTTTGTGTGTTGAATTTTCCTGTTGATTAATCATTTTAATACGATAATCATATTTTGATGCTTTTTGATTTTTATTATCAGAATATACGACAACATATAACGTCAAATGTGTACCCGAAGTACTAGAATCACCATTCTAAAGTGACGTAAAATGGTCAACTACAAAGTCGGAAAAAAAATCAAACAAGTATTAAGCACGTTGAGATTCATGATAGAACTTATTAGCACTGTTTCATATTTGATAAAATAGATCGAATGAAGAATACAATGTTAACACTTTTGATGTTATTTAAGTTCTTTTTCTCATCTATTTCTCCTTGTTTGTACTTATCAATTCACTAAGAATAGATATTTTCTCTCTCATCCTATTTAACAGGCTGTGGTAACAACAAAGAATTCAAAGTAAGTTAAATACTTACTGTACCAATTCGTAATTTAAATGTTTGATTATTCATTTTTAATGGTTCACTGTAAATGAATCCATTTTGCTGTTTTAATTGCAGATAATTTTTAATAACAAGTACCTCCGATACATATGGCGGTGAGATATGACTAAAGAAAACAAAATGTAAGAGTGTATAATGTTACATTTTGAATTATTTGATTACCTTTGGGTAAAATCATTTGAAACTGAATAATCAACAGTTCCATCATTTTGTGTTTGCAAATCTCGTGAAATTTCTAATAAATCACCATGTTTTAACAAATATTCAGCTTTTGTACTTGTTTTAATTGAATTTTCAATATTTTTTATTAAATCTTCAGCCAATTTCATGTGATCATTAAGTTCTGTTTGTCGCTCTAAAACAAGAAAACATTTATATTTTTATCATTACGACAGGGGAAATGATAAGAACTATTATGCCTTCAAATGTTTCAAGTTCTGTTTCTGTTTGTTGATCTATTTCTCTAATACGCTCTTCTTGTACTAATTTAACAGCAGCAATACCATCATCCTAAAAGAATCATTTTAAAATGTGTTTATCTTTTCTATAATTTTCTGTTATAATACTTGCAATATTTTTCATCCAGCCAGCTAGTTTGCTTTGCTGTTCTTTAATTTTCTCAACGTGTTTAAAAATTTCACGTACACGTTCATCATAAATGTCATCGAGTGGACCGGTTTCATGTTCACGGTGCTACAATAAAATACGAAAAATATTACAGAGTTTTTATCTTCTGCATGATGTCAGTTGTAGTCAGAGGTGGATAAGTCCAACCATTTCCAAGTTTTTCATAGCAGTTTCTGCACCATACAGTACGTCATAATCATAGATGATGGTAAATAAATTTTATCCATACATTGATACATATTTGACAAAAAAAAGATTAATAAATTAGGTATCAGATTATACTCATTCCGTTGCTGAATGTAAAAAATTTTAACCCTTTGGACGTCAAACGGACTTGATAAAAAACCGTCAGGTCCAAGTTCGTCAAAAAAACCTTCAAGTCCGGACTTGAACTTATCCATCTCTGGTTGTAGTAACGAATGAAAGATGATGCAAATTGATTAAAATAAAGCGTTTGTTTCTTTCCATTTGTTTAAGTATGACGTACACATTGCTGTACGTAGAGAAAAAAGCAAAATGAAAAATATTCTATAGAACCGTAGAGGAGAAAAGTGTAGAAAAATAAAAAATAATGTATTTAAAGAACGATGTGTTCAATCAATTCTATGACTTACCTCACTTTCCTTATATGAATAACATCGATGGCAAACAGCTTTTGAACATGTTTTACAATAAGCTATCAATTGATCATTTTGATGAACATCACATCTTCATAAACGGAAAACAAATCTAAGAAATATATTTAGAAATTTCTCAACTTACTTATTTCGTTCTTTCATATTTAAATCTGATCGAACAACATCAACGTACGAACAAATCGCTTCAGCACAACGAACTTTACGAAAATTTTCTAATTGAACATTTCTTCTATCGGAAACCAAATGACAAGAATAAAAAAGATTACTCTTGTTGATTGACTTACTTGCAATGCGGACAACTTTTCCCTTGTGTTAACCATCTCTAGATGAAGAACGAAAAAATGAACATCTTCAACTATACAATGTTTTTGTTTAACTTACTTGAATACATTTAAAACAGAATAATTGACTACAAGAACAACACATGTGAGCATTATTTGCTGAATTAAGACAAATTATACATTTGACAGATTCTGAGATCAACTGAAATGAAAAGTTATAAAAAAAAAAACGAATTCTCGATACTCCCAACTCACATCACAGCACGATGACAAAGATGCAGAAGCCACGTTGGTAAGTATTACGATCTAAAAATACAGTTCGTTTTCAAAAGGAAAACAGAGCTATGTATTGTATCAAAACCTTCTTTCTTATAAATTTATCTGTCCCGATCAAAAACAAAAGGGAAAATCCTTTTCAAAGGATAATACTAATGAAAACATCGTTTTAACTGTTCCCTTTAGTTTGTACTTTTAACAAAATCCTAGATATAACTAAACAGGTAGCAGACAAAATTTTTTGCATTAAAAAACCTATGAGCTTTCGATAAATCTCAGCATTGCAAGTTCGTTTCCGTTTGATGTCCTTTATTTAGTGTATACTGTAAAAAAGCTACAGTGAAATCACAATAAAAGCCACAGTACTCATGGGTAGACCGAGAAACTTTTAGAGTGGCACATACAGAAATGTACATAAATTTCAAACAAGGACTGCTCTTTTTTATTTTGAATTTTAGAAATATACCCTGTTGAGATATAATTCTGTACAGGACAGTAACTGCTTATTGCTCTAGATATTATTTTTCACGGTGGTAATTGTCCCGCTATAGCGGGTCGCCAATGACGGTGCAAACGTAGCATCAGCTCATCGACTTGAGTTACTAATACAATAATAAAGATGTCAACTATAAAAAAATTAAATTAAGCGACAACGTTCAGAGAATAGAGAGCATATCAATGAAGGACTTTTTATCTCATAAGGAAACACATTCAAGTGTGACTCCAGGATTTCAATAAAACTGATTATACACAGTAGAGTTGGATATGCTGACTTTTTCCACCATATGTTTTCATAATTTTGATGAGAGTTAAGCGGGAAAGGTATGGTAGAAAAGAGCATCCTTTGTTGCTCGAACTTGCCATCTTGTGTATGTTACATCAGCATCCACTGATTCCCCATGGATTTCCAGAATCATACAATAGTTAACTTTCATACTTTATGTTAGTTACATGACTAAGTCGATATGTCGCTTTAGAGGTTATACATACTGTTAGTCAAAACTGTGTAATTAACACAGAAGGCAGAAAGAAAACAACACAAAAATCAATGTTAATGCTGTGAAATAATTTGAAATTAATAGGCTGTATTACTTTGAGTCGTGATCAGATAAACTCAACGACAAATGAAAGTAAACATTTCATATTCTAAGAAATATTAATGCCTCATCTATTTTGAGTAACAGAATAACTCAAAATCCGTTGAATGATATACCCTCTGCATCAATACTCAAAGTCTGCAAAAACACAAAGTGTACACTCTGTTTAAACTAGTACACGCTCTTATACGAAACACTGAATACGATCCCATGGTGACAGATGTAGTTTACACCACATCAGAGCCCTGCAGGTTGATCCTAACCTAACCTAACCTAACCTATAGGTTAGGTTAGGATTAGGTTGCAAAAGCTATAGATTAGGTTAGGATTAGGTTGTCGAATTCATAGGTTAGGTTAGGATTAGGTTGTGAAATTTTTTATAGGTTAGGTTATAGGTTGCCAAATATTGGCAACCTGCAGGGCTCTGCACCACATCTACTTTATGATTTTACTTATTTTCCCAATCAATCGATTTTCTGAGGACAAAGTCTGTCCAGAAGATTACAGCAGCAATCAACAAAGAGGCACATTCTCTCAAAAATTTTACTGTACTCCCAAACTTACACCATACCTTTCTTTTTTCTTCTCTATGGTACTGACTGGGTGCTGGTACCATAGTACAAGTGGTACCATAGTACAAGCGTGACAATGACATGCTTCTGTCATGTCTTTTCAGGAACCACAATTTTCGTATATGTAGAATCATTATTGTGATGAAAAAAAGCAGCGGGATGCAAGTCTCAGAAGTAAACTGGAAAAATTTGGTCACAGAGCTATCGTCAACATAATTTTCCGTTAAAGTTTTCCGTTAATTTAAATGGAAAATTGTCCTTGCACGAAAAAGGCGGATCATCCAATCAGAAACAACAAATAGAATGATATATATGTAAGCGATTACGGATGACATCTTTTTCAATACTTTCAAATTTTTCTTCCAAAATTTAGTTGAGTCAAATAATTCAGGTAAATCAAAACAAACTTTTGCTTTTCAGTACAAATAGCTTTTTAATCTTCTTTTTCAAAAAGAGTACGTTCACACTGTACGTTTTGTACATGAAAATTTTTCCGCAGAGCAGCGATATTAAATAATGGAAAAAGCACAGATAAGACAAAGTAACATTTTTCAATATGCAGCTAATTTGTTTACAGTGATCGCGTTCTACTAGTGATTAATTTTTAAAATAATGTCATCTAACTGATTCAAGTATTAAAGGTAAAAAGTTTTCCTTTTACATTTTATATCTATGATCGAACAATCTGTCTTTTGTACATAAGCGAAAAATATGAATATATTTTTCGGATTGATTTCCGTGTTTGCCATTCAAGTTTTCCTTTGATTTGAAGAGTCACCTATCTACTTTATCGAATCCATACAACGACGATAAATTAGGTAATATGCATTGCGACAGCCTCGTTTGGATTTCTGCGGATATAGGCTGAGTCTAACCTTAAACGTACTTGATTCAAGTACTTGATTACTTACCGAGTACTTGGAAAGAACAGACAAGTTTCCTCACTTAGTAAGTACTTGAATAAGAACTTGGGAAGTTTTTTACTTCTCAAGTTTCTAAGTACTCACCAAGCATCGTCACTTGATTCGTTTTAGCTAAGTGTACAGATGAGTCAATCACTTTTTTGTATTGCATTGACAACTTGTATATAAACGTCACAATATCATTCAGTATAAACTTAGAAAATAAATTTAGATATTTCTACTGAGTTGAACAAACTTGGTAGTCGTGCATGTATCTGCTATACAAAAGTCGAGTATGACTGTAGAATATGTACTTACAAAAATACAGAATAAAGATAAATGGAACAAGTACTTGACTGAAGTTTTTCGAGTAAATTGACCTGCATTGGATCAGCTGAGTGCTTGAACACCCATGTACTAAAGATCGCATAAAAATCGGCAATTAATCGTGAAAAATCGTACGATCAATCACAATTAATTGCCGATTTTTTGTTGATTTTCAGGTGATTCTAGCGGTTAATTGCTGATTTTTTTCTAGGTATTAAGTTCGAACCCATCTTAGGAAATACATATTTTTTTGTTTTTTCATTGTTTATTATGTATAATGATATATATCATCTATATATATAGATATATATATTAAAAAGTGGAACCAGATTCATCAGTAAAGGGCGCGATGCACTTCATTGCGTTCGTCTCATCGAGATTATTACATGGTGCACCATACTTATACTTTTGTGTCATACGAAAACGTTTTTTCACGCATAACCTCGGGGAGTTCTAAAGTATTTTTGTAAAAGTTCTCGTATCTCAACCATCTTGATGGTGGCAGTTGGAAACTTTTTTCCTTGTTTTTCTCTCATATAGTAGAATGAAATGTACGATGCAGTTTCTTTAGGTTCGAAAAGTTGTTTTTGCTCTTTTTTTTCTCCTAACGGTACAACAAAAAGTGCAGATAGGATCACTCATATGTATTCAAACAATCAGATGCTGATAGTTCCTGAATTCTTTATTTATTTCCGATGTGTTTTCTTTTCGGGGGGAGGAGAAGATGCCATGAGAATGAGTCGCGATCGTTCCGTAAGCGGGATGGTGACCTGAACTATTACCGGTGCCACAATTCAAGGACCTCGGTTGATTTTCGAATAATTCCAAAACGGTAAAGGCTACGAACTTGCGATTTCAACAATCAAAAGAAGACAGTTTAATCTATGTTCTCATAAGCAAACCGCTTTTCATTTTTTTTCGCCATTCGAAAGACCGGTTTTCCAGGAGATATTTGGAGAAGTGCTTCGGATGTACGCTGTTTTACCTGCTTAGTACTATGCAGAAACAATAGCTGTCTTCTTGAAAATGGCCATTGTCGTGTCTTTTCCGTGAAAGAAAAACAGAGTTTGCCTTACACTTAGAGGTGGCACATTACTATTACTGTTACCAGTAATACAAATATTGTATATTACTGTTACTGGTAACAGTAATACTGAACAGTATTCCTGTTACCAGTAACAGTAATACTAGAAGTATTAGTGTTACCAGTAACAGTAATACTCATAAAATTAGTATTACTTTCCAGTAAAGTAATACAAGAAAAAAAAAATTCAATAGGGGGGCACAATCAATACGAAATAATATGGT